TTCTCTGATAGAATAGACAATGGCCATAAGCACCCCTATGGATGTCATTTTGCTCCTTGTATTTGTTGTACTGCATGTATTCGATTCTTTCATAAAGGGTGCCATTCGTTTTGCCAAAGTATGTATTTTCGTCGCTCTCGTCGCTGCATGGATTAAAAGGCTTTCGCGAAGGGGGTATGTCAGGTTGACTCAGAGGTTGCTTCAACGAATCATCAGACTTTGCCTTGTTTCTCATGTCACAAAGGAAGATACGGAACCATCACATGCCCGGTTTTAGCCAGGAGACTAGACGACAAGGTGTGGTCGCTCTACTTCGCGTATAAAGCAAGGAGCCGTTCCTCTGCATTCCCTCTACTCCAAGCGCCCCCTTGCTTACGGCGAAAGCAAAGATGGAGCTTCAACTTTCTCAAATCCGCTTCATCACTGGCCTACACCAGAACCAGATCGAGGCTGAAGACATCTTCCGAATATGGCAGATGTCATCCAAGGTTTGTCCTGGCAGTCCAGGTATCAATGCATCTGCTCCATTGCATGCGGCCCGCTATATACTGGGCAGCAAGTTCCATTTTGTACTTTCCTTGAGTGAAGATGGCTTTCCCGTTCACAGAATAGTAAGCATTTTGGACGTGTGGCAGATGGCTTTTGCACCGAATGCCGGCCGTATCACGCATGACGACGTCACTTTCGCTATCAAGCTGCACTCCGTCGGACTTACCTCGCGCGAAGTCGCCAGTATCCTTTGGACTCGAGGATTGCAAAAACCGATTGTCACTAGAGTGTTGAGTCGCACAGTACGCGTCTCTGCTTTTGAGTACGTGGCTTTTCTCTGTCGCATCACTCAAGTCTAACAAGTGCTGCAGGTTTTCCGAAGATGTTGCTTACAAGCTCAGCCAAGTGGGAGAGGTTGCGCATATCAAATTGGAGAACGGCATCTACCATATTCAGATGAAGACTCATAGTCAAGCAGCGGAAGCGGTTCGTCTGTATAACCATTGTGTAAGGGCTCTCACCCCGCCCCTCGCGGGATATCTACTTACAGAAACACATTTCAGGTCAAATGGGGACACTCATTTGCACAAGACCAATGCAGTTTCGAAGAAGACAGCGGTGTTTGTCTCTTTTCTACTCGAGACCTGAGTGGAAAAGACCTTCAAAAGCTGCTAGACTCTGCTGGAGGGTCTCGTGGCGCAACGCAACTGCACCAGTGCGTAGAGGAGCCCGACGTACAAGAAAAGATGGAATCTCCGCGCAAGTAGGCCTAGCACGGGCTACTTCTTTCGATTTTTTTTTCAACCGAGTTTACTCGAATTCGCGCATACATAGCTATCAACTTTCCTAATGCACGCTTTCAGAAGTGGAGTTTTACAAGTCTGCCCGAACCGCTGCCGCAAGGAAGCGACACAGTGCGCTTATATGGAAACGCAAATACCTCCGTTGATGTACTGATTAGAGTTTGGATCGCTATCATGGTTCGCAGAAACAGGTTTGCCTTTCGCATGAATCGCCAGCGACATTCGGCAAAGTCTTCTCTCGTTAGTCAAGTAATCAGAAGAATATGTCACGTAGAAAAAACTGAAGTCTGTCTTGCAGCTTTGCAGCTGCATATCTGGGTATGTGCCTCCGTCGACCGTTGTTCTCACCCACACAAATTGCCACTCGACGACCGCCTACCCTATGACCAGCGCTGGGCCTCTCCCTCGACCAGCGCTGAGCCTCTCCGTCTTCCCCTTCCCATTCCCAGTCTTCTGCTAGAATGGGCCTTCCTCAGTCGTCCACCCAAGCTCGGTGCCCTCCTCAGTCCTCCGAATGCCCTGCCGACCACGAGCGTGGCCGCAACGGTGACTACACTATTCTTACCCCTCTCTCAACCCGGCGTCCCTACACGGCCCCCGCCACTACTCAGATCGTTGCAACCACCACCAGCGCGCGCGCTCCTCCCGTTCCCAGCAGCAGGGACCCCAACGTCACTACTAGCTTCGGCCAATTTAGCGTTAAAGTTGCCACTGTTGTTGTCAACACCGCCGCCGTCCTTCTAATTATAGAATCGAGCGTGCTGCTGCGTACGAGAAGGGATGATACCGTAAAAACCGTTATGGGTATCGTGGGTTTCTAACATACAAATTTTAGTGGGGTGTATTTTGCTGCTGCCTAGAGAGCCAGAAATATCGGTTCTGATTTACCCCGCGAGGCAACTAAAATTAACTAAAAGCACTAGCGACACCCATAACG